AGATAAAATTTAGTGCTGGAAGAAAGATGATTTATAAACATCCACTCCAAAACTCTGGGCACATTTGTATCCTCCCTCTCTCACACATGATTTGTATCATAGGTTTCTTGAACGAAGAGGTGCAGTGGGCTGCACACGCAGGGAGATAAGATATCTGTGCTGTCAGGGTTTGCCAAGTTCCTATGTTCTCTTGGACAAAAAGCACAAGCTTTGAAGCCAGGACAATACACATATATTAGAGCATCTGATTTCAGAAGTGCTGCTGGATGCTCCCACCACCAAGACAAGTCTGGACTCTAAGGCGAGGGTTTACAGAGCCAGAGTGACCAAACATCACAGTCCAACCCCACTGCCCTCAGTGTCTGCAGAGAACCAAGGTGCTTCAGAGCACCCTGCCCAGCACCTCTTCACACCCTGCTCTGAGATGCTGCAGCAGCCACTGCATACAGTGTGCCACACGAGCCACCTACGACAGGATTAATCTCCTTTTTTTGATAATGAAGAAAGGTTTTCTCAGAGGATAAAGCAAAGGAACTGCACATTAGCTGTTAGCAGCTGCACCTCTTCCCAGTGTTTCAGATCTGATCAATCACAGCAGGACTTTCATCTTTTTTTGACTTCTGGCTGTCTTACTGAAAGCCATAAACTTCAGTTTTGCCCGTGGGAGAGTCCATTCCAGAAACGGTACATTCTGGCACTGCCAATGTACTTGGCAGATATAATGTGCACTTTAAGGGCTTTCCTAACTTCAGTGAATTTCACAGTAGCAATTATCTTCAATTACTCCAAATGAAAGACCACACAAAATGTTAATTCAAACCCCCCTTCTCCCAGAAGACCCCTGCTATCCCCAGTCACCACTGCCCCACTTTTTCCTTCACCAACGCCCAGAAGGTTGGACCTTGATGCTCACGTTTCCTGATGTGATTGCTGCCTTTGTCATACCTTCTTTTCCATATATATCATAAAAAATCCTGTCTCATTTCAGGGTATTTAAGAGTACTTGTGTCACCTCCACACAGACACATTTGGCTGCTTCTTACCTAATTTCTCCCACAGCCTCAATGAGAACAGAAGGAAAACCAGAGAAAACAACTGGGCATTTACACCAGCAATTAGAGGTAGAATAAGCCACTCTGTGAGATCCAGCTCTTTCTGCTGCACTGCAAGACACAAAGCAGCATCACCTAAAAGCAGTGTGTGTCAGAAGAGCTTTATTAGTGAATAAATTAATGGGATATATCAGCACTACCATGATTTTTAGCAGCTACGAAGAGCTTGTATTAAAGTTGTGAAGATATTTAACATAAATTAGAACAATATTCAGCAGAAGCTACGAAATAAGACTGAAACAAAACCAAGCTACACAGCGATGGCTTCGTAATTCAGGTGCATTTAGAGGAAATATCAGACTCAAAATGAAAACTGAGGTCAGCAATATGTTGGGATGGTTCAAATCACAAATGAGAGAGCTTATCTTCAAAACTGAAACTTGTTCTCAGGTTGAATTGCCAAGACCACACATGGCACCACATGGCAGTGCAGGAGAAAACAAAACTTCTATGTCCCCGTGATCCATGCAAGATGAACTGGGAGAACTACTGGTGAAAGTCAAGAGGAGAAGGAAGGAGACTTAAGTATGTAAATTTTTTCTGAGAAAAGCACACAGCAAGTGTGCCAGAGGTCCAAAATACCAACATTCACTAGAAATGCAGAATCACTTCACTTCCAGAGCAAGTTCAGTACAAGCCTTTGGTCCTCCTTAGGAGGAATGATCACACTCTACATTGCTTCACAGAGCCTCGAGCTCCCTTCTGTAAACTTCTGAGATTTCACAGCTCCATTCTTTTCATTACTTTTTTCTTCCAGTTTGCTGCATGAAACCTCTGGTCTTGGCTGCTCCACCCTATAGAGCACTGAGTTTTACAGCTATTTGTCAAACAGCAACGAAAGCCTCGGCTTTGTTTTTACAATGATGATAATCCTTGCCCTAAAGAACTCACATTTAACGGGCATGTCTCATCAGTGACTCACTCGACCTGTGTCAAATAGGGCAACCGCTACGAGCCTGGTCACAGGAGCCTAAAATCCACCATGGGCAGTAAACTGCTCCTGGAGCAGCAGCCTGGGGGGTTAAATGAAGCTCCCCAGAGCCCAGGGAGCTTCGGTTCTCAAGCTTGCACAGGCTGTTGCTGCCTCTTTTCTGGGGTGAGATGACACAGGAAGTCCAAAGAATCCTGGTGTCAATTCCTCTACTGTATTTGCTGAAAAGCTCCTGACGGCAGGAAGAGTGTGAACAAATCCTTACAAGTCTTGAAACGGGCAATAACCGGTGCCACTAATGAAGTGGTCTAAGAGGCACCGCGGAGAGCAGAGCAGTGACAGAAACACAGGAAGGGGGGGAAAAAAGGGGTTTTGAGACAGACTGCTGCGAGCAGAAAAAACACACAGAGCCGGGCCTGGTGATGCATTTGGGCACAACACCAGGGCCAGGGAAGATGAGCAGCACAGTAAAGACATTGTGGGATCCTAAAAATCGGAGAAAGGGGGCAGTGACAGTCATGTAGATGAGTAAAACGGTTCTGGGCAGGGAGCCCACCACAAGAACAGTGCAGGGGAAAAGCCACCCGCAGAGAGGTCCAGCAGCGCATTCCACGTTTGAGATGCTGCGGACTAAAACCAGCGAGCTGGGGGGTGACTGAAAAGCCCTGAGCTCCTCGTTTGTGCTGCCACTTGAGCCTCTCCAGAATAGGAAGCGCAGGCTGCAAAGGAGAAGTTTGAGGTTTGGGTTTTCTGAGGCCAACGCCGCTTTGTTTGCTGAGCCTCGTGCCGTCGCGGCTTCCCTTTCCATGGGAATTGTGAGGGATCTGGTGGCTCTGCCCCAGCAGAGCAGGCACAGATAAACCTTTTCCTCCATCAGGAGCTCACTGAAATACAACGCTCTGCAATTCACTTCCAGTGGCCTGTTACTTGATGTTCGTGAACGTACAAGACACGGAAAATGTCGCTTTTACACCAGGCTTTCCCAACACAGCTGTTACGACAGCTGTGTTACTTCACACAGCTATTGCTTTATCTGAAATAAAATGCCAGGCACATTTCATCTAGTTGTCTGGGCAATGAGAGGACCACATCAAAAAGAAAAAAAAAAAAAGGAAAAGATGACAGGTTTTTAAAGTGAAAAGCCACAAGTAAATGAGAGTGGACCTACTCCTTGCAGAAGCAGAGTGCTTTCATCACTGAAACTCTTCCCTCCTCCCCAAACAGCTGAGCCTTAACATCTCACACTCTTGGGTTACTTCTGAACATCCTACACTTTATACACTTCACACAAACCAATTTTAAGTAATTCATGGCACTCAGGAGAATCCAGCACTAGGGATAATTTAACAGAAGCTGATCAAACAAAACTGATTTTGAGAAAAGCCCCATCTATTTCTGTCAGACAGCATTCCTAGTGCAGTTGTGTGCTGTCATTAGCTATTTCAATCCAACATTTGATCATACTGAATTTAGGAGAGCTCTGCCAGTTTAAGTAGAACCAAAATGTTAACCTTCAGTAACTTAATCAAATGCCACATGGTACAGGCACTCACAGCAGAAGTTATTTCAACTCTGAATGTCTAGAGAAAAAATTTTATGCGGCTAAAAACTGTGGAAAAAGTTACTGACTCCTTACAAACTTCTAACCACAATGCTGGCAATACATAAACTAGTTCCAGGTCTGAAAGCAAGGAACGTGGAGAGACACTGTAAGTCCAGAAAATCTCTAGGCACAAAAGATATGAATGAATTACTGCAGCTGGAAACCTCCTTCCCCCTCCTCAGAGGCTTTCCTGTCACTGAACTGTGAACTGAAACGAGGCAACAGCTTTCAGGGGCAAAAACTCAGTGTCAGAAGTTGAACACAAGTCTTCGCCAGTGAGAGAGCAGCTCAGCAGCAATATCTGTCATCGTTTGTGACCACAGCTCCTGTCACACGGGCAGAAGAATCCCCCCCTTCACCACATCTCATAAAAGGACAAAGCGGTAGTTGCGTCAAGTCATAAATGTTTGTGTACAAAACCTGTTCACCCTCTCTTCTGCTTTCAGCTTCTCCCTTAGTTCTATGACAGACCTACTGGCATTCGCTCTGGTGAAACTGCAGCTCAAGCCCTGTAAGTGTTTTCAATCAGACAGTCTGCAAACACCCAGGACTCGATTCAAAAAGCCCAGCACACCCAGGCAGGAGAAGACCCTCTCACCCCTGAGAGGAGCTGCCAGCCCCCAGCAAACAGCAGCAGGAGACTCTGCCACAAGCAGGCTGGGACTCTCAGGGTTTTTTTCCCCCAAATGCCAAAGTTGCAGCCATATCAGTGTGGGCAGACCATAAGTTTTGGCTCGTCCAAAGCCATCACCAAGAGTGGTGGCTTGTCTCTGCTGACATCAAAGACCTGCCAAGCATGTGGGGCTGCCAGCAAGTCCCCAGGGCAGCAGCAGATATGGGCTGTGCAGGGTGACAGTGCCAGCCACCAGGAGACATCTCTAGTTTGGGAAAAAACTGTCAGTGTCAGGGCAAACATCTGTCAGCCTCACACATTTCCACTGCGGTAAGAAACACGGTAATTGTATCATCCATTTTCCACGCTCGCACCATGACAAGCTAAAGAAGATAAAAGAGGTTTGGGCAGTCAGGACTGCAGGCAGTCGTGGCCATTTTGATTTAAGTTTATTCCCTTTCTGTCTAAATAAACATATCTGTTACGAATGATGAATGTTCCTCCCCTATCCCTCATGTGCCTCGTGTCCAACTCTGTTTCCCTTAGCGCTGCACTTCCATATTTCCGTAGGTCTTTCCTGACACTTCTAGGAAACAAAGAGTGTAGAAACTGTACAGCTGGGTGGTCAAGCTGCAAAGGGAGGCGAGGGCTGGAGGAACTGCTATGTACAACAGCACTCCCCTGCTGCAGCCTCTCCCACCCTCCCCTCTACCTCCCCCAAAGCACGTTCCTCATCCTTACCTCGTAGGACCACACGCACTGCACTCCCGCAAACCTCCGCACGCATCTCCCCACTTCCACGTCCTCGTGGGTCGTGTACATCTCCCGCAGGCACTCGCCGATGTGGGGCACCATCCTCCGCAGCACCTCCCGGCTCATGATCACTCCTGGCCCCCCCATGCAGAAGTTCTCGCCTGGTTCCAGCGCCAGCTTCCCCATCTCCTCCGTGGTGCCGAGCCCGGTCTGTCCCAGGAAGAGCGGCTCGCTGCTGTTCAGGCTCCTGAGGAAGTTCTCCAGTTTGTCCCCTTTGATGTAAACGTCATCGTCAGCCCTCATAAACCATTCGTATTTGTCCAAGTAGTGGTCATGCATGTATTTGAGCATCATGAAAGATTTCTTCTGGGGTGGGTAAGAGTCGTCTACACCTGGAAGCGGCACGATGGGGATGGGAATAGAGGTGTCCGAACCCTCGCTGGAGAAGAACTCAACCTTGCCAGGAATGGTTTTGGACCATGTTCTAGATTGAAAAAGACAAGAAGGACTAATTAAGTATGCAAACCAGGGCAGGCAGAGAGTGCTATCAGAGACTGCACCTCATCTGCTTTAAAAATTGTCTTTATAAACGCCTTGAAAGGTTATTTTTTACCACACAAATGAGGACATGGCACCCAGAGCAACTGGTACAACACACAAAAAGTTCTGCTATGACAAGCATCTGAATATCATTTTTGCACCTCCACATGTTAGAAAAGTAGTTGATAGTAGCAGTTCACCAGTGGAAGGTAGGATTTCTTATGCACATTCAGTTTTGGACTAACTAATATTGGCCACAAAATACAGGGCCGAGCCAGTATGGACAAACAGTTCACATACAACTGGATTTAACACTTTCAAAGCTTCCCTGCAAGTTATTCAGCATCATTTCCACCTTCCATTCCGTCTAAGCCTCTCCAAAAGCTCAAATGTGCACTCAGAAGCACTGACTTCCAGAGAGTAAATTCACATGAACTTGCAAGGAATCGGTATCCCATGCAAAAGCAACCAAACAGCAGCTTCTCCAGATGCTGCCTGAAGAAGCAAAGCAGGGAACATGGAGGAACAGTAACCTCAGGTGGGTTTGCCCATACCAGTCAAGTCCTAAAAGATGCCTGTAAAACATGTAACTCCCACAATAACATGGTGCTGCCAACACTCACACCTCCAGCAGCTTGCCAGACAATTCATTCCAGATTTTAGTGGAGAGGAACATCACAGAAGAGGAGCTTTTTCTGCACAAAGCAGCACAGAGACAACATCTGCTCCACACCTTCCGTGCTCCTCTGACAAATCCAACCCATCTGTGTGGGCAAACTGGGTCACTTATATGGCAGGAAGAGCTGCAGGATGATTCCTCAAGGCAGACTGCAGAACACTGTCTCCTCCAGGGAGGATTTTCAGTCATGTAACTGTTACAGCCTTGCCCTAAAAATTATTAATTTTAAGCTTTCAGTACTATTTTCTGAGATTCTATCTGGGGGAAAAAACCAGAGACCACATATCCCTCATAGAAAACTATTTTCATTGGTAAACCAACAAGTTTTGCCCCTTTTTGTATAGGGGGAGAATATTTTATAATTATATTTGGTGACTATGCTCAGAATATAACCTAAAGGTGAATTTGAAAACACTCTCAAGGTAAAGGACACAGTATTCCCTCAATGCATCACTGTCACTCTGACCAGATGCCTGTCAGCACAGGTTTCTTGCCAAAATCTGAGCAGAAAGTCTGAAACACAAATATATTTCAGAAGAATTGTTCCTTAAGCTCCACCAGAAAACACAAAGGTATTTAATTAGACCTACGTAAACATCAACTTTGACACCTTAACAGTTTCACACTAATTGAGCTGTGTGTAATTAATATCACCCAATTACTTTAAAAGCTTTGTCTTCTGGATTTCTTACTGCCATGGGTAGTGTTTCGTAGGAAAAGTTTAGATCCCAGCTTCCCAAAGAGCACAGAGTGAAGCAAACAGGAACATTCCCATTGACTTCACAGTAGAGGTGATGAGGTTTTTAATCATCAGTCATGCAATTAATGCACAGTACTACTGGTTATAAGTCATATCCTGTTAAAGCACGGAAAGCTGCCCCTTTTAAACGTGACATGATCATATCCTGACCTTTCACTAATCATTAAGGAAGTTCTGCTGTTTATTTTCTGACACCCACACTCAACATACAAATCATCTACGGCTCTTCCCATACCAACCCCCAATCTAAGTTTAAAAGACTTCTCTTTGTTAAAGGTACCTGATGCATTTCAATTTTAATCTCACAGAAAGAAAAGGCAGAAGAAGCTACTGAAAAATTTCATTCACTGCAAGCAGTTCCCAAGGGAGCTTTGGATGGACTCAGGACTAGTTATTAGCTAAAGCCTTATGGAAATTTCTGTTTATTGATTTTTTTATTCAAAAGCAAACAATGAATTTTCAGACTTGCTCTCCATATCCGGAAAGATCTGCCTTTGTAATGAATACAATCTATGGACAACATAGGGTGTTTTCTATCACTCCAGGCTGTAGCTCCTTTCTGGATTCATGAGGATTTGTCTTCAACTATTTTTTTAATTTTTTTTTAAACCACCACCCATTTTGTTGGTTCCCAGCTTAAATTTACTCCCTGCTCTCCACCTAGGTACCCTCACCTCAGGACCCACAAAGTATTGTCAAGAGAAGAATTCCCAGTCAATGCAGAGGGAACAAAATGCATGTACATCCATAAACCCTGGCATGTTTGATTCCCAGCCTTCTCATTGCCCTAAAACCCTCAAATTAAAGCCAGTTTGAGCCCATCTTTCCGTGTGTCTGTGCCATACTTAAGTTTCACATTAAAGCAGGAGTAAAACAGAGAGTAAACCATATATTCCTCATATGTGAGGAGCACAACACAGACAGAAAGACCAGGTCCTAACAATAACCACACCCCAAGGACCAGTGTGCGACCTGGGTCGGCACCAAAACGTTACTTCAGCCTTGGGATCTCACGTCAACCACATCAACCACATCGACCAAGCCCCAGCACAGCTTGACTGAGCCTTTGTTCACTTCCTGCAACAACACAATTTCTGGGATGAGACAACTCGACGTGTTATTTGTGACTGTGGCTTTGAGCATTTGTTCGAACCCAAGCGGGCAAAACACATTCCCACATGGAAAAATGGCCCGAGTGTCTGTGTCAACGCAAGCACAGCTCGGCAGAGGCTGAAACAATGGAGTCACCACGGGCTGCTCCTCACGTCGGAGCCGCAGCTCGCTGCGGCCCTTTTCTGGGGAGAGAATACACAGAGAACAGTTTGCTCAGGAAACATGTTGTTGCACTCAGCCAAAGAAGCCAAACCACAGACAGCAAGATGAACTGCGAGCACATTTTTCTGACCCCAGTTGATAACAGCAGAACCGAGGGCTGGTAAATGCAAGGACGAATTCTGATCAAAGCAGCTTTTAACTTTTTTATCCGACGTTGCAAAGAATCAGACCTGGCTTGATCACCAGCAACTCCACAGATTAATGAGTTAACACCTACGTTTCTTGCCTGTCCTCCCACCTCCAGTCTCGTTTACCTTGTCTGCTCTCAGGTTATGGGCAGCAACCTGACCCCTTCAGCTCCTTAGCACAGAGCTCTTGTCTCAACATCTCCCCACCTCTGCGGCCCCACCAGCACCCATTGACATTGCTTTCCTGGTCAAGGGTTCTCCAATATAAGACTTGTAGGTTGTATCTGAAAAAGAACTGTATGTTTGATAATTAAAAAAAACAAGGGAAAATGTTTCTATTGAAACTTGATGCTCTCTTTCCCCTGCACTGCCCTGTCACCCTCAGCTGTTTAAAGGACATGTGGACACAGCATTTCTGCCACCAGACTCCTGCATCTACATCTGCAGAGAACACCTTGGCTGCAGTGATCACTTGCTGGTGGTCTCAGTCAGCTCAAAGCCATTTTGACTCCGTCCAAGGAGAAATATCAGGTTCTGAATACAACTGATACATGTCCTGAACTGGTCATTTAAAAACCCAGCAACTGAACTGCTCTGACAGATCCCAACCTTATCTCCTCCGTGTAATCTGAATCTGCTGCCTAAACAGGAGGATGTGCATGAATCAGGACAGCAAGGTTCTCTATTACCTTCCCCAGGAGGTAAAACACCTGCACAACAGTGTGTGACCTGGTTTCTCTCAATGCAAGAGGTACAGAACTCTAACAAAGCAGAAGCTTGTCTTTTGGCAAGAAAATCAAAGTGAAAATTAAACAAACACAAACAAAATCAGTAACGCTTCCTGAGGAGAAAGCTCTTAGCAGAGGACATCAGTCTCCAGTATTGGTGGCTATCAAATCAATTTTATCACCCCTCAACTGGTTTTGCACACTGGATACCCTACATATACCCTAATCTGAGCAAGTCACAAGCAAACTGGGTGAAAAGATTTTATCCCAGCTGGTACAGGTATTCACAAAATACAGAAAACTTTGTGCACACTGAGTGTGCTAAAAACCCCAATATCTTCTAAAAAGTGACCACAACCATAGTCATCAAATGTTGTTGTAAGTTTATTTCTTCATTCAAAAAGAAACTCAGAAAGCATAGTTTGAAGCAGGAGGAGCAGAGATCTTGAATGTTTTATTCTTGAGTTTCCAGTATTTATTATTTATTTGTATTACCTAGCTTTGTTATCAGCTCTGCAGACTCGGCAGAAGCACAGTCAGTGGTGTTATGCAGACAGTGCTCCCTTTGTAGAGACCCAAGCTAAACACTGTGACAAAAAATAGTTTTTGTCTGCAGCTCAGGAACATCCCTTAGAGGAGATCAGAGAAATCATTTAAAGTTTTGAGAAACAGTCATCTTGTATAATTACGCTGAAGAAAATCATAATTTGTGAAGAACTCAGCAAGATAACAGACATAAAAGACTTATGTCTTGAATGCAGCTAAATTTCATGTTGTATTAGGGCTAGTTTTGCATAACTTCAAGGTCCCATCTTTCCAGCAACACTCGCTGCAGGGGAAGCAATGAACCACAGCTCAGCCAGGAGAACTGAGCATGGAAACCAGCACACTGCTCCTGTACATGGTACTGCACATGACCATCATGAGAGGTCACCAAAAAAAGCTGTTTGCTAAAATCTCCAGATAGATTTAAAAGACCTTGTCGTTAAGATCTGCATTACAGAATTCAGATTTTGAGGAAAAGCTCCTGCCAAGTTTTTGCAGGGCAACTTTACCAGAGAACCCAAGCAGCTTCTACAGCTCTTAAGAGTCCTTTGAACTAAACTCTTCCAATTTAAAGTGATGCCAGTTTTCTGCCCGTGGATATCCAGCCACCTTCCTTGTGGAAGCAGGGACAGAAATGGATCTATCACCCATAGGCACACCAACAGTCAACGGGTCAGGCGAAGATCAAAGCCCAAGTGTCCCAGAGGTTTGGGCCGTGTGGTTATTGTGGGGTGTGTAGGTGACTTTGTTGCTCCTTATCTCCCACGTACCAATGCCAGCTGCTCTCACTGTATTTGTTTCATACTGTTCCTTAAACATTCTCGCAAATTTTAGGTTACTGCTCGGAAAGCCCAAGTACATCATGTTTCTGCTGGAAGGTACAAGGGCAGGACAGAACCGAGCCCTCACTATTGCAAGACTGTGGTACAATTCACACGTGAAGTAAAACACGTACTGCGATGTCACGATGTTCAAAGTCACTTCACATGACCCCCAGTGCCACCCAACAGCCTCCACCCAGGCTCTGAATTCAAAAGCAGCACAACAATGTGTTTTGTATTACACTTCTGCAGCAGCTAGTGCAGGCTTAGACAGATAATATGAACTCCTTTAGACCCCAAATCCTTCTGGCTGCCTTTCACTTAAGCCTTTCCAAGCACTCAGGTATTTAGATTTCAGTGCACACTGTTTTCTATAAGCCACCACTACCAGTGTGGCAGCAAATGGAGCCTCCAAAGGGCATCCTTCTGCCACAGGAGAGGGATGGCTCAGCACAAGCCCTGGGCATCACTCATGGTCTTCGTGGCACTGGAGGGTGCCGTGGGGACTGTCCCAAACCCAGTACTGCGGCTGTGCTCCTGCAGAGATACTGCCAAAGGCCAGCCGCTGACATCTCGCCATTAACTGCATTCACACTACTCTCCTGCCACGTTTCCCGGGAAATCTAGTTGCTACGCAAAAAAAAAAAAAAAAAAAAAAAAAGAAAATGGGTTAACTGCCTGATATTTCTGTTCCTGAGACAGCAGACTTAAATCTTCTGGGAGCCTGCTTATTCCCATCCTCTCCTTCCCGCAGCTCTTTTAGGACAACTCCCCTCAACTGCAAAGCCATTAGCACATATTATTGCACTTTCCCTGAACCCCAGCCATACTTTAACTCCTTCCTGCCCGGCTCTTTTCCTGACTATTCCTTGTCCTGTGATGTGACACCGCAGTTCCTGCTGCTGCGCTTCACCGGCCTCCTGGAAGGGCAGCTCTGCTAACCTGGCTGTCAGATGCAATAACCGCTGAGGCTGCAAACCTGCTCTGCGAAAACCTGTAGATCTAAAGCTTATTCTCTGCCTCGTACACTACAAAAGCACGACTGTTTCAAAGAGCCAGCTGCTCCCGAAAATCCAGCAGGCCTGATTTGCCTTGCAGTGGTCATTTTGCTCATGATTGATGTTCAGGAAGTGGATTGCTTCCCCTCTTTTAGACCCTATCTGGATTCACAGCAGCAAGGATCAGCAAATGCTTTCTGCTCCGGTCCCTTTTAGCTGTGTCTGTAAATGGCCTTTGAGCCACAGCAATTTGGAGGTATTCAGCCTCTGAATCCCTAATTCCTTTCAGCGTGGTATCAAGGCTCTGCACACGCTGCCACCCCGGGAATGCCTTGCTAGCAGCTTCCCATTTCACTGGCTGTGCCAGCGATTCAGCTCACCAGGATGCTTTGTCAATGTAGTAATCCCAGCAATTGTCTGCTTGAGTACTTCATGGCAATCAAAAGCCATTTAAGATTTCAGGTTTGTCTTCCTCTTCCCCCCTCCCTACCTTCCCCCGAAGATGTCTTCCTGTCACCAGGACATTAGCTCATTTCTTTCACCGACAGAGGTGACAAAAACGAATTTAGCCCTACCACACTGCTAAGTGTCTCTTTATCCTCCTTTCCAAGAGCAGACATCATCTCTAGAGGTTAAACCAAAATAGCTGTGTGGCAAAAAGCAATACTCAGATCTCCTTCTAAGGGCTGAAGGAGCCCGGTTCCATTAGCTGGATTTGTTAAGTTGCATCTTCAGCCATTGTTTTGTGTGAGCAGATGTTGCAGATCTGGTTCTGTAAACCCAGCTCTGCCACAGCACGCGACTGCTCAGCGAGCACGGGCAAAACCAGGGATGAGAATCCTTCCCACACCAGCAAAGCGAATTCCTCCCCAAATAACATCAATCTCTGGACAATATTGTGATAAATTTCCCTTTCTTGAATTCTTGACGCAAAATCTGATGGATGCTAGACAAGCTCTTCTGCCAGAAAACCTGTTACGTGATGTTCCAGCACAACTCCAGCCTCTCTGTATGTAAATGTAAATTACACAGCGCATGAGATTTGCAATCCAAAATGCTCCATCCCACATGGTGATGAAAAGAACATAACCCTGAAGAAACAGATTCTTTCACCCATTTCAAAGCACCAATCATGTTCTCCCTGTAACTTAATTATAGTCTAGTACTAAAAGAAGGAATTAAGTTTCCATTAAAATCATAGTTGGTGGACAATATACCTCAGATTGCCCAAATTAAGCAATTTTACTGCATTTGGTGCTGATATAAAGAGAGATTTCCTGGAACCAGAGCTGGGCAGAGGAGGAGATGGAGATGGTCCATCATACACGGTTTTGCCATCCTGTACTTATTGGCCAACAGGGCCAAGTACTTTTCAGCCAGGGCAGGCAGGAGACGGAGAAGGGTTTGTTCCAGCACAAGACTAAAGGGGATGTTTTATTAAAGATCCTCTCCAGAGCTCCTGGCTGCTCCTCCGATGGTGCTGGCTGTGCAGTGCTCAGCCAGAGCTGGGGTTATACCCGAGCTCACATTTTAGCTCTTAACTCTTTCAGATTTCCCAAGCCAGGCTTCCCGCGCAGCCTCCCAGCACTGCCTGCTGGCGCGGACGCCGGAGCAATAAGCATATTCCAGCATATTTCAGCAGAGCAGAGTGTTTCACCAAAGCCACAGACACGTCTCTCACAGAGGAGATGATTATCCTGATGCTGCCGAGGCTTTGGACAGAATTCCTGTTAGCACTCACGGCCATACCCAGCTACAGCTGGAGACCACGCCGCGGGCTACAGCAAGCAGCACAAAGATCGTCCCTGCTCCAAAAATAGGTGTGCTCAGGTAACAAGCACTCGGCTCTGAGCCCCCAGTTCCTGCACTAGCTCCACCAGCCCAACGCTTGGAGTGCTTCACCCAAGCTGACTTCCCTCATCCAAGCTCTTTCACTACCTGGTCCAGCCTCAGCAGCAGCTGTGGCGAGCAAAGGTGGGTTTTACTCTTTGTTCCCAGATGCCTTTCCTGGGTCTCATTCCCAAGCACATGCTTTTGGCTTGGTGCAGTGGTCTTTTCTTCCCTATCCAGATGGTCACAACGGTCTCCAAACTTTATTACTGTTCCCATCAGGCTGTCAGCTCTCCCCAGAAGCAGCAGCCAAGGACTGCACCAGCGAGGCGCAGCCGTGCCAAGGCAGAAGCACTGAGGGACGAGGCACTTTGACGCCCGTGCCCCCTTGGGTGACCAGCGGTCGGTGCCCCCTCGCTGTTGTGGGGCATCCTGACCCTCAGGCAAAGCCGCTGGGGCCACCTGCCAGGCAGCACTTGGCTGAACCAGACCCTGTGAGAGCGGCAATGCGACTCCCTCGACCCCTCGCATCTCCGCCGACCTGCCCGGGCAGCGGAGGAGCGCTCGGGGCACTGATTCTCCTGCACCCCGCACCCGCCCGGACAGCGCCCCGGGGCTCCCTCCCTGCGCCCGGGACGGTGCGAGGAGAGCCGGGGCTGAGCGTGCCCCGAGGATCGCGAACACCTGCCTTGGGCAAGGGCGAGCGGTCCCCGCGGCCGGCGGGGACACCCCGGCTGCAAGGGCATCCCGGGCCGGGGGGTCGTCCCTCGGGGGGACCGGCCGTGCCCAGAGCCCAGCCCGGCCGAACCGAGCCGAGCACAGATGAATGGGACCGAACCGAGCCAAACTCAGCTCAGCTCAACGTGGCCAAACCGAATCGAGCCGAGCCCAGATGAATGGAACCGAACCGAGCCAAGCCCAGCTCAGCTCAACGTGGCCAAACCGAGCCGAGTCAAGCCAACCCGACCCGACCCGACCCCAAGCCCATCCGAACAGACCCCAGCCCAAGGCAGCCCGCCGGACCCGAGCCCCGCCGAGCCCTCCCGACCGCAGCCCCTCGGCCCCCTCCCCGCCCTCTCACCGGTGCGCGGCCACGGCGCGGCTCCGCAGGTACTTCTGCGCCGTCATGACCCCCACGAAGAGGAAGCTCTGAGCCGGCGGGCCGGGGCGGCGCGGCGGGGCGGCGGCGGCGGCGGCGGGCGGCGGGCGGCAGCCCTGCGGGCGGGCTCGGTGGGGCCGCGCCGCCGCCGCCAGCTCGGAGGCGCGGGGCAGGACGAGGCGCGATGCGAGCACGAAGCCCAGCACCAGCCCCAGCAGGACGCTGAGCCAGGCGCGGCGGCCGCGGCCCGCCATGCCCGCCCGGCCCCGCTGCTCACAGCGCCGCCGCCGCCGCCAGCCGCGCCGAGGCGCCCAGCGCCGCCATGGGGGAAGGGGCAGGGACGGGAAGCGGAGGGAGGGGAGCGGGGGGCCGCCCGCCTCCCCGGCCCTGCCCCTCGGCACAGGCGCCGTGTGCGGCCCCTGGCCCCGCCCGGACGCCGTCGAGGTGGCGGGGCCGCCGCGGGTGCAGCCCCCGAGGCCGCCCCCGGACCCCGCGCGGGGGTCCCGGTGAGGGGATGGGATGGAGGAGGAGGAGGGGAGCGGGAGCGGGAGCCGCGGTGGGACCGGCAACCGGCTCGCAAAGCCCCACCCTGGAGCGGGACGTCCCGCCCCGTCCCTGGAAGCGTGCCAGGCCAGGTTGGACGGGGCTTGGAGCAACGTGGTCCAGTGGAAGGTGTCCCTGTCCGCGGCAGGGGTGTTGGTGTGACATGAACTTTAAGGTCCCTTCCGACCCAAACCAGTCTGTTGTTCTATGACAGGGGCCAGCACCTTGCCCCAGCATCCCACACAGGGGACAGGGACCCTGACCCAGCATCCCACACAGGGGATAGGGACCCTGATCCAGTACCCCACACTGGGACCCTGGGACTGGCACACCAGAACATCAGCCCAGCTGCCCAGATCAAGAGGCTGGGACAGGAGGCTAAAAGAACACGGGTGCCGAAATCTGGGGACGGGGACTGATGCCCTGGACATAACCCCAGGACAGGCATCCCAGCACCCTCCGCCAAGACCCCAGGGCAGAACCCTGGCTCAGGGGCCAGGACTGGCACACCAGCCCTTCAGTCCAGGATGGGAAGGCACTGGGACACTGGGACCCTGACTCAGGATAGGCACCAGGTCGGGGTTCCTACTGCCCAAGCCCCAGCCCTGCCCCACGGCACACGCAGAGCCAGAGGGGAGGCAGGTGGGGAGGAGCAGCCTTCCAGCCCCGTTTGCCTGGCACTGATGCATTCCTGCAGCACATGCCCTGGTGCCAGGGAATGAAGGCACAGGCAGCCCTCCGTTTTTTCCCACCTTGCTAATTAACTCGACCAGAAATAGGTCAGTCTGTTTCCATCCGCAGGCTACAGCGACTGCTCAAGAGTGAAGACTTTATTGAGCGAAGATTTCTTTTTCTTTTGTCCAAACTGACTCTCCACGTGCTTTTCATCTACAGAGCGCTTCAGCTTCAAACACTGCAGCCCCAAAACCTTCACATTTCACAGGAAAAAAACCCTCCAGTCTTAACAGAAGAAACTTATCAAGTACAACCCACTGACCTCCTGGCTATCATTGTGGGTTTTTTCCATTTCCTGCCCACTTCGGCATTTCCAACTGCCATTTTGCATTTTATTTATATCATGATGTCATCCACAACAAGCTGAGAAGAAGAAAAGTCTCGGTGTAATGGCAGCCTGCTCTTTTGAGCAAGAACAGTTGCAAGACAGGAAGCCGTTAACAAATTAATACTCTACATTAATAAGCCAAAGAAAGCCATACCTAAAATATTTTTATGATCCATGTATCACAAGTAATTGTATCACTTCTGGGATTGAGCAAGTAGTAAGACAATCTGCTTTTCTAAAGAACTCGATGACATGTCTTGAAAACAATGCTTTTGTGGGGGTTTATTGCTCTTCTGATGGTGCAATCCTCATACCAAGGTCAGCACCGGTGAACTCTTGATGTCAGGAGCAACAAAGAACAGAAAGAAAGTGCCACCACAATTTATGGTAATAAACAACCATAAAACTAAAGATAAATAGAAACTAGATAAGAAATCAAGCAATGAATAGGAAAAAAAGAGCAGTTTTCCTTTCGGTTGCCCATGAGCAGAACACAGAGGTATTGAGATGTGTGTTTGTGGGAAGGCAAAGAGAAGAAATAAATGGTGAAAGAGGGAAAGGAAGAACAAACTGGAATACACGAGGTGGGTCAAGAGAGGGAAGGGCAGGAGCACCACTGCTTGGCAAAGGCCAGCTGGACTGTCCTTACCACCCCCTTCCCAACCACTACTGTAATTCCTTTCTATTTCCCAGGGTTTGCAATGCTTCACTATTATTTCTAACTACGGGTACCCTGATCCCTTTCCATGAAGTCTGGGGTTATCCTCAGCCTGTGCCGCTCTGCACATATGGATCTTTTAGTCCCCTTTGAAAAGCTTCTTCACCAAACTCTGCTGCTCCCCTCTCCCCACAAGCCTAAAATACAGGACACCAATAGTCGTTCAAGCTGAAATAAAAAGTAAGGCCACTCCTTTCCAAGAGAGGCACATGTGGCAAGTCCATAAGCAGGAACAGGATTACGCTCTGCGTGCTCCAAATCAGCTGTAAAAAACTCCTGATTCAAGGGAAAGCCACTGTGGCCTATGAATTACAGGAAAAGGCAGAGCTAGCGTGGCTAAAAGGCAATAAAAAAAGAGAAAGGTTGGGGCTGGGGCTGGGGAGCTGTCAGTTGGCTTCTTCCCACAGAGAAAAGAAGTTAGTCATCAGAACTGAAAACTCCGTGCAAGTTCAGCACACATGGAAATGATGAAGCAGAGCAGCACACTGCCCTGTTAGATCTCCTCAGCCCCGAGCTCCCCTTCGGCATGTTCCCACCCCCCTGAACCTCCACAGCAATCACAGTCCTGGAGCTATTCAATGCAGGGGGTGAGAACACTTGGGGAAGGGGCAGGAGAAGGAAGGGGCAATTTCCTGGTGCCACCTGGAGAGGAGGCACTGTCAGACTTCATGCTGTCACCACACGAGATCACACCCCTGGCTGTAGGGCCGAGATGTCCAGCTATAAGGAGGGGATGGCACCTGGGAACACCGTGGTGCTCCCACAGCACATCCAAGTGCCTCCCTTTATGTCACTTATTGTGCCAAACTCACGTTCCAAAGTGCTGGCAGGCAAATGCCCCTTCTACTGCTCCTGCCCCCTCCCCTGTTCTTGCATACAGCAGTTGCTGTTTCCACTATTGGAAAAAAAGCAGATTAAGGGAAAACTTGAAGAGAATAGCTTAGTTCTTCCAGTGGAAATATAACCCTGCTGTTACCTGCCTAAGTATGTTTTTAATCTGGATGGCAGAGAAGGGTCATACTGCATAATCAACTTTAAGGGCCTTCCCTATTAATACAGCTCTTAGTCTCAATAAACAGTTGACACTATATATTATGGCTCCTATATATTAAAGGCATGGTATTTTTCTCATCTAACACTGTATACAAGCATAAGCACATTTTTATGCAGCGTGTTTTCTATTCCATGTGGGATGGCTTAAGGAAATATTCTGAGACCTCTCCAAAATCTGCAGAGGATGCACATTGTGTGTGCTCATTCTCCATGTTCCCATCCCACTCACTCCAGCGAGATTAGCACCCGGACCAGCCAGCAAGAGCCCACTTGACAGGCCCACATGGTTTAGATTCATAATCAGATTAACAAAACAGTAATCCTATTTTTAAACAATGAAAAAGCCAAGTCCTTGAGGCGGGGAGTTGGTGTGGGTGTGTGTGTGTGCATACAGAATAGATCTCATCCTTTTGGAATAAAGAACCTTAATACCAAATGAAAAAAGTTTCTTCCACAGAGGAAACTCTGCCCTGTAGAGGAAAAAGGGACTATCTTATATTATACCACTTCTTTCCCATTGGTTTTGATTTCCGATGGGCCCACTCCAATACTTGCAGGATGTACCTTCTACAATATACACTCTTTACCACATTTTAAAATAATACTTAAAGAAGTGAACTACTTCCCGAATGCTCCAGAAACTTTAATTATGAATGTTCCAGTACTTAAACTTATACTGTAAAAACTGCCCAGGCATTGGAAAATGAGCATATTTCATATACTCAAGGTAGCAGACTCATGGTGGAAAAAATCTCACTGGGCAACCAGCAGCATTTGTCTCTGTCACAGTATTTCCAGTACCGTTGCATTTTCCCAAATGATGCAGAAACTCCTTCCCCAGCTCCAGAACCCACTTCTTTTTCTCCCTCCCCATCCTCTTCTGGTCCTGCCACAGACCAGACCCAGGCTTTCCTCTCAGCCGAATGACTCAGAAGGTGCCCGCTCAAGGGGCTGAGGGAGAACTGTCACCACTCGCTCCTGCTCAAAGCCGGCCCGACATTGCCATCGCCCGGCCCGGCCCCGCAGTGCAGCGCACCGGCCTCCGCCTTCCCGGGGCCGAGTTAGGACTCGGGAGTTCTGGGAGGTGATGGAAACCCCTCCTGCTCCCCACATAGCCCCTCAGGCGTCTGCTCAAGCCTCCAGGTCTCATCGCCTGGGTGGCAGGAGAGGCACTCGAGCTCTGCAGCACGGAGGGGAAGGTGATCTGTTTTTAACGTGCTGCCGCCAGATCCGAGTCAACAAACCACTGGAAAAGTCTAGAACGTGTATTTAAAAAGCAAACATCAAGATGTGATAACCTAAAATGCAGAACAGCTGAAGAAGTGGCAATTACATTACCCATGAAATGGAATTTACAGGCAGTGTTACCCCCTCTAGTGTGAGATGAAGCTTTAGGACCCAGGTTTGGCTTTTTCAAAGTGCATCTTCTAGGCCAAGCTAACAGTAACTCCCCATTTTAATGCAGAGCACTAGAACTAGACTGAAAGGCCAGGTATTTCAGGATATTGATTTTCCTTCCATTCTCTTTAAATATAATTTTCTAAGTTCTTTTCCCTGCCATTCCTGCATGACCGTTACTCACAGAACCAGCTCGGAAGCTCAGCTTGGCAGCCAGCACACAGAGAGAACCTTGATCAGCAAACTATCAGTAAACTAGACACAGACAGAGGAATGAAAATGTATCAGTGGAGATCCTGCT